TGGCCAACATCTTGTACCAGATATTCATGGCATGCCAAAATTAGATGCCATATATATCTTCTGTGGCAACAAACAACGCCATCAAGAATGGGCCGAAAATTGGCCCAAAATTAAAGGCGTTCACACCACAATCAAAAGCATTTGCGAAAAACTAGCAATAGCCGTCAAGCAATGTAATCAAGATCAGGTAACTGTCAGTATTATTGGCGTCAATGAAGGAGGTTCTAGCGAAGATCTCAATCAGCTAGAACCATCCTTCATGTATACACAAATATTCAAGGAAATTCTCCTTGATATGGATCATGGCCAACAAGCCATTCAAGATTTGGTCACCTTCTGCCAAGAAAAATATAAAGGTAATAAAAAAGAACTCAAAATTATCGATGAATTTCAGCGTACTTATGAACCAGCATTGGCGATATGGTGGTATACACGCCAATGCTTTACATACAACATGCTTAATCGAGCATTAAGAACTCTTGATGGTGATATTATTATCCGAATGGGATTTTATTTATGTGATGTCCATCGACAAATTGAAAATTTACACAACAAACAAATCAATGAATATCATGGTAAGACATTTTTACTTTATCGGGGGCAAGGATTACTGACGGCAGATTTCGAAAAAATCGCTAAAAACAAAGATGGACTTATCTCGTTCAATAATTTTTTATCGACCAGTAAAAATCGAAATATCTCTCTCGAATTCGCCAAGGACGCCTTAGAAACAACAAATACCGTCGGTGTTCTTTTCCAAATGACCATCGATCCCACAGAGTCATCAACTCCATTTGCTTCTATTCGAGAGCTGAGTGATTTCGCACAAGAAGATGAAATTCTCTTCTCAATGCACACAGTTTTTCGAATTGGTGACGTTCGAAAAATTGACAAGAAAAGTTCACTTTATGAAGTGGACCTTAAACTTACAGCAGATGATGATCAACAACTACGTCAATTAACCAAACGTATAGCAGAAGAGATTGGTGGCACTGGGTGGTATCGATTGGGTCAATTGCTGCTCAAAATAGGTCAATTCGACAAGGCCGAAGAGTTGTATACCACATTACTAGAGCAGGCATCGGACGACAGCGATAAAGCACATATCCATAATATGCTTGGATTGGCGAAAAATGACCAAGGACAATACAAAGAAGCAGCTTCATATTATGAGACATCTCTCAAAATCTACCGAAAAACTCTCCCAGAAGATCATCCTTCATTGGCTAATATCTACTGCGGCATCGGTCTCGCATATAACAACATGGGTGAATACCCGAAAGCAGTGGAATTTTACCAAAAAGATCTAGAAATCATAAAAAAAGCTCTGCCTCCGAATCATCCCGATTTGGCTTCTTCCTACAACCATATCGGTTCAGTGTATAACAGAATGGGTGACTACTCGAAAGCACTTGAATTTTACGACAAAGCGCTTAAAATAAGAGAAAAAGCTCTGCCTCCGAATCATCCCAAATTTGCTTCTTCTTACTCCTGTATCGGTGGAGTCTACGACACCATGGGTGACTACTCGAAAGCACTGGAATCTTACGAAAAAGCACATAAAATAAAAGAAAAAGCTCTGCCTCCGAATCATCCCGATTTGGCTTCTTCCTACAACCATATCGGTTCAGTGTATAACAGAATGGGTGACTACTCGAAAGCACTTGAATTTTACGACAAAGCACATAAAATAAGAGAAAAAGCTCTGCCTCCGAATCATCCCGATTTGGCTTCTTCTTACTCCTGTATCGGTGGAGTCTACAGCACCATGGGTGACTACTCGAAAGCACTGGAATTTTACGAAAAAGCATTTAAAATAAGAGAAAAAGCTCTGCCTCCGAATCATCCCGATTTGGCTTCTTCTTACTCCTGTATCGGTGGAGTCTACAACACCATGGGTGACTACTCGAAAGCACTGGAATTTTACCAAAAAGATCTAGAAATCATAAAAAAAGCTCTGCCTCCGAATCATCCCGATTTGGCTCAATCCTACAACCACATCGGTTCAGTGTATTACAAAATGGGTGATTACTCGAAAGCACTTGAATTTTTCGAAAAAGCACTTAAAATAAGAGAAACAGCTCTGCCTCCGAATCATCCTGATTTGGCTTATCCATACAAATGGTTTGGAAAGATTTATCGCAGTATAAAAGATTATCCAAGAGCACTTGAGAATTTCGAAAAGTGTCTCTCAATACGTCAAAAAGCTTTACCTGAAAATCATCCAGATAAGGCTACTACATACAGTGACATTGGTGATGTTCATCGATTAATGGGAGATTATGAAAAAGCATTGTTATTTCATCGAAAAGCATTAAATATCCAAGAAAATGTTCAATGTAATCCTTTAGATTGTGCATTAACATATATAAATTTAGGTGAAACTTATCGAGAAATGAAAGATTATTCAACAGCATTGACATATTTTCAAAAAGGATTAGAAATACGTCAGAAGAAATTACCAAAAGATCATCCTGATTTAGCTGTTGTATATC